GGAACAAAGAAAGGACCCAGAACAAGATGGAACAAAAGATAAGGAAGAAACAATACAAAGAAAAAGAAAGACCCACAGACATGGATGGCCTGCAGAAGATATGCTAAGAGAAAGACAGAAGAAGACAGGAGATATAAAAACCAGCCAAAAAACGGAAAGAAACCAAGAAAAACACAAAATACAATACCGCAAAATACCAAGGGGAACAAAACAGGTGGAAAGAGTGCCCAAAACAATACAAGGCAAGGACAACATCCTCCCACCCGAGGACACCCACAGATGAGAGCACCCCCTACCTAACCTCTTACCCCAGAGGACACAGAAATCCCAGACCCCAATACCAGAAAAAATGGCAACCCCACAAACAGAACCACCCACAGAACAGGAGGGAAATGCCTCAAGAACAAACAAGGAGACAGAACAGGGACTTCTCCTATCACAGAAATCACCCGAACCAGTATTACCAGGGTCAAAACCCACACTGGATGAGCCAACCACAGCCATGGAAGCCACCTCAAAGACAGGGAAGATATCCCCAAAGAGGAAATTACCACTGGGCCCAAGGGCAAGCAGGAGGGTACGGCAGATGGGGTTGGAATTAATAGTGACAGAAGTGCCTCTGACCAGAACCCAGCTCTCTGTACTAAGCAAAGGAAGATCTTTTGTTCCTGGGCCTCCCCCAAAAAAGCCCTGTTGGAGAACCTAGGAAGCTCTATGAATAGATTAAAAGAGCAAATAAACAAAAGATTTGCAGACTCCCTCTTACCAGGCCTTGAAAATGAAGAACTAGGCACACACAAAAAGAGGAGAATCATGCCACAGCAACTTCCAATGAAACAGAGGATGAGCATTCCTACAAAGAAAGTCCCAGGTTTAGAAACAATGGTACATTGTGAAACCATGGATGTAGGAGAAAGAATCTTAGAAAAGTGTCCCTCAAATATGAGCAAACTAGAAAGAGAGACCTTGAAAGATCTAGCTCACAAAACCCAGACTTGGTCATTAAAAAAGCAGACAAAGATGGAGCATTAGTGGTTCTGAAGAGAGAAAGTTACATAAAAATGGGTGAAGCCCATTTGAAAGATACCGAAACATATATCCCCTTAAGCAACCCTGATAAAGCACTAGAAACTGTAAAGAGACAGAGCAAGATCTTAGTAAACCGTTTCTTCAATTAGATAACTCAGAAAAAGGAGGAGGAAACAGAAGAAGTTTCCTAGCAGGACAAAGGGATGCATTACTAGAACATAATCAATTATCCCGCACTGGTATGTCCTACCAAAAACCCATTAGTAAAAAGACCCTGATACAGGCCTATGGTCAGGTAGACCAGTACTAAGTGGATGTAATGCCCCCACCAGACCAGTAATAATAATAATAACGACAATAATAACAGAAATAATAATAAAGGTAATTATAACACGGTATTATTGTTATTATAATCATTATTACAATGATGAAAATGACATTAATAATTAAGATGATTATTATAATATGTATATTAAGGGTAATTAGGGCGATAAAGACAGTAATGATAATAATGATGATAATGACAATAATGATGATAGTTATCATTATAAAGCCCATCTATAATGAGAAAAAGGCTAAAAGTAGAAAAATCCCAAAAGTCGAAAAACGGGCGAAATCTAGCGAAATACAGCCTTCTGAGAGATGGGTCGAACCCCCCCCCCCTTTTTTTTTAGTTTAAATGATGAGTATGATGATTTTAGCAATAATTCTGGTAATTAGGATGATTTTGATGATAAACCCATCAGTAATGACAATAATGATATCAATGATAATTATGAGAGTAATTTGGACAATAATTATGATATAATTATATAATGATAATTATAATGATGATTTGCGTAATAATTGCAATAATAACAATAATCAACAATATTCTCATGATTTTCCTACTAATAACACTAATAATAACGACAATGATAACAGAAATAATTATAAAAGTAATTATACCGCGGCTATTATTGTTATTATTATCATTATTATTGTTGTTATTATTTCTAGAATTATCATTATTGTCATTATCATTATCAAAATCTTTACAATGATAAAAATGACATTAATAATTAAGATAATGATTATTATAATGACTATATTAATGGAAATTAAGGCAATAATGATAGCACTGATAATAATGATGATAATGACAATAATGATGATAATCATTATAAAGCCCATCTATAATGAGAAAAAGACTAAAAGTAGAAAAATCCAAAAAGTAGAAAAACCGATTTGCGTAATAATTGCAATAATAGCAATAATCATCAATATTCTAATGATTTCCTACTAAAAACACTAATAATAACGACAATGACAACAGAAATCATTATAATGATGAAAATGACATTAATAATTAAGATAATTATTATAATGAGTATATTAAGGGTAATTAGGGCGATAATGACAGTAATGATAATAATGATGATGATGAGAATAATGATAATTATCATTATAAAGCCCATCTATAATGAGAAAAAGGCTAAAAGGAGAAAAATCCCAAAAGTCGAAAAACCGGCGTAATACAGCGAAATACAGCCTTGTGAGATATGAGTCGAAAACCCCCTTTTTCCAGTTTAAATGATGATTATGATGATTTTAGCAATAATTCTGCTGATTACGATGATTTTCATGATAACCCCATCAATAATGAAAATAATGATAACAATGATAGTTTATGAGAGTAATTAGGACAATAATTATGATAATAATTATACAGTGATAATTATAATGACGATTTACGTAATAATTGCAATAATAGCAATAATCAACAATATTTTAATGATTTTCCTACTAATATCACTAATAATAACGACAATGATAACAAAATTAATAATAAAAGTAATTATACTACGGCTATTATTGTTATTATAATCCATATTATTGTTGTTATTTCTATAATTATCATTATTGTCATTATCTTTATTAAAATCATTATAATGATGAAAATGACATTAATAATTAAGATAATGATTATTATAATGACTATATTAAGGGTAATTAGGGCGATAATGACAGTAATGATAATGATGATGATAATGACAATAATGATGATAATTATCATTATAAAGCCCATCTATAATGAAAAAAGGCGAAAAGTAAAAAAAATCCCAAAAGTCGAAAAACAGGCGATATCTAGCGAAATTCAGCCTTCTGAGAGATGAGTCGAAAACCCCCTTTTCCAGTTTAAATGATGATTATGATTATTTTAGCAATAAGTCTGCTAATTAGGATGATTTGATGATACCCCATCAGTAATGACAATAATGACGATAATAAGGGTAATTATGAGAGTAATTAGGACTAATTATGAAATAATTATACAATGATAATTAAATGATGATTTGCGTAATAATTGCAATAATAACAATAATAAACAATATACTAATGATTTTCCTACTAATAACACTAATAATAACGACAATGATAACAGAAATAATAATAAAAGTAATTATAACACGTCTATTATTCGTATTTTATAATTATTATTGTTGTTGTTATTTCTAGAATTTTCATTATTGCCATTATCATTATTAAAATCATTATAATGATGAAAATGACATTAATAATTAAGATAATGATTATATAATGACTATATTAAGGGTAATTAGGGCGATAATGACAGTAATGATACTAATGATGATGATAACGACAATAATGATGATAATTATCATTATAAGCCCATCTATAATGAGAAAAAGCATAAAAGTAGAAAAATCACAAAAGTCGAAAAACCGGTTAAATGTAGGAAGCCCCCTTTTTCCAGTTTAAATCATGATTATGATGATTTTAACAATAATTCTGGTAATTAGGATGATTTTGATGATAACCCCATCAATGATAACGATAATAATGACAATTATGAAAGTAATTAGGACAAAAGTTATAATAATAATCATACAATGATAATTATAATGATCATTTGCGTAATAATTACAATAATATCAGTATTCAACAATATTCTAATGATTTTCCTACTAATAACGGCAATGATAACAGAAGTAATATTATTTCGAGAATTATCATTATTGTCATTATCATTATCATAATCATTATAAAGATGAAAATGACATTAATAATTAAGATAATTATTATTATAATGACTATATTAAGGGTAATTAGGGCGATAATGACAGTAATGATAATAATTATGATGATAATGACAATAAATGATGATTATCGTTATAAAGCCCATCTATAATGAGAAAAAGGCTAAAAGTAGAAAAATCCCAAAAGTCGAACCGGCGAAATCTAGCAAAATACAGCCTTTTGAGAGATGACTCGAAACCCCCCCTTTTCCAGTTTAAATGATGATTATGATGATTTTAGCAATAATTCTGCTAATTAGGATGATTTTGATAACCCCATCGATAATGACAATAATAATAAATAATGATAATTATGAGAGTAAGTAGGATAATAATTATGATTTTAATTAGTACAATAATTATGATAGTAATTATACAATGATTTTTATAATAATGATTTGCGTGATAATTGCAATAAGAGCAATAATCAACAATATTCTCATTATTTTCCTACTAATAACAAGAATAATAACGACAATGATAACATATTTAATAATAAAGTAATTATAACACGGCTATTATTATTATTATTATCATTATTATTGTTGTTATCATTTCTTGAATTATCATTATTGTCATTACCATTATTAAAATCATTATAATGATGAAAATGACATTAATAATTAAAATAATGATTATTATAATGACTATATTAAGGGTAACTAGAGCGATAATGACAGTAATGATAATAATGGTGATAATGACAATCATGATGATAATTATCATTATAAAGCCCATCTATATTAGAAAAGTAGAAAAATCCCAAAGTCGTAAAACCGGCGAAATCTAGCCAAATGCAGCCTTTTGAGAGATGAGTGGAAAACCCCCTTTTTCCAGTTTGAATGATGATTATGATGATTTTAGCAATAATTCTGCTAATTTGGATGATTTTGATGATAACCCCATCAATAGTGACAATAATGACGATAATAATGATAATTATGAGAGTAATTAGGACAATAATTATGATAAAAATTATACATTGATAATTATAATGATGATTTGCGTAATAATTGCAATAATAAGAATAATCAACAATATTCTAATGATTTTCCTACTAATAACAGTAATAAGAACGACAATGATAACAGAAATAATAATAAAAGTAATTATAACACGGCTACTATTGTTATTATAATCATTATTATTGTTATATTATTTCTAGAATTATCATTATTATCATTATCATGATTAAAATCATTAAATGATGAAAATGACATTAATAATTAAGATAATGAGTAATATAATGACTATATTAAGGGTAATTAGGGCGATAATGACAGTAATAACAATAATGATGATGTTAATGACAATAATAATGATAATTGTCATTATAAACCCCATATATAATGCGAAATAGACTAAAAGTTGAAAAATCCGAAAAGTCGAAAAACTGGCGAAATCTGGCGAAACACAGCCTTGTGAGAGATGAGCCGAAAACCCCCCTTTTTCCAGTTTAAATGATGATTATGATGATTTTAGCAATAATTCTGCTAATTAGGATGATTTTGATGATAACCTCATCCATAATGACGATAATAATGATAATCATGAGAGTAATTAGGACAATAATTATGATAATAATTATACAATGATA